GAGTTAGTTTGCGCAATGGTCAAAGGTATCTTCCATGCCAAACAGTTATTTGTTGGGATTAACAAAACCCTTATTACCCTCATCTCTAAAGTTGCAAGACTGGAGACTATTAAAGAATTTCGTCCGATCAGTTTATTAACGATTTTATATAAAATTGTTATTAAACTTATTGTCACTAGATCTAAGAACCTAATGCTTTTTTTGGTTGCTCCTACCTGAGCTAGCTTTGTAGTTGGTAGGAATATCACAGATAACATTATTATTGCCCAAGAAGTAGTCCGCTCTATGCGACATTTACGAGGAAAGACAAGTGGATGATCATTAAGGTAGACTTAAAAAAAAGTTTATGATCGCATCTGATGGGAATATGTGAATGACATTCTACTTGATGTTGGTCTCCCTTCTAACCTTATTAGAGTCATCATGCATTATATCTCCTCTTGCTCTATGCAATTGTTGTGGAACGATTGTCTCACCCAGGAGTTTCGGCCTACTAGAGGCATTCGGCAAGGGGACCCGCTTTCCCTCCTATATATTTGTGTTATGCATGAAACGGCTATCCCATTATATCAACACTTTGTTAAGAAATAGTATGTGGAAGCTAATCTACCTTGGTAAGAAGGATCATGTCTTCTCACACCTCTTTTTTGCAGATAACCTGATAATCCTTGGGAAAGCCACTGATGACTAGACTCAGGTTATAAAGAATGTCTTAGAGGAATTCTGTGCGAGCTTGGGTCACAAAGTGAGTGCGACTAAAACACTTACTTTCTTTTCTTGCAATGTTAATACGGGTGAGGCTAGTCGTATTAACAAGATGTTTGGTTTTTAAGTTTTCAATAATCTTGGTAAGTTTTTTGGTGTTCCATTGTTACATGATAGAGTCAATAAAGATACTTATCATTACATCCTTAAAAAGATTAACCAAAAGTTATATGACTGGAATGCTAACATCCTTTTCTCTGCAGAGTGTTTAACTTTAGTCAAGTCCGTCTTCATGATTATTCTTGTTTATGTTATGCAGACGACGATTTTACCTAAATCTCTTATGTGATCAGATTGAAGTGTGGTCAGGAAGTTTCTCTTGGGCTAAGGGGATGGCAACCGAAAAATCAGCCTTGTCAGTTGGAATGACATGTGCATGTCTTACGACGCTGGGGAAAACGATTCGGTCTATCCATAAGTAAAACCAAGTTTTTTTGATAAAATTGGGCTTTGTTGTGGTTGCGAAGCTCGGCCTCCTATGGGTCCAAGTCCTCACAAGTACAGATGTTCTGTTTTATCGCGGAATTACAAACCAACGGGACCAATCTCCCATCTTTAGTGCAACCTTGTCCATCTCTTGACGGACATTCGAGTTGACATCAAATGATCTATTGGTTCAGGAAAAAATGTTAGATTTTGGGAAAACTGCTGGTTAGGGGACTTGAGGCCGCTTAAACTTTTGTTTTTCACACTTATTGAGGTGCAAGATCTCCATAGATGTGTCAGGGACTACATGGTGTCGTCCGGCCAATGGGATTGAGAGACTTTGTATCGGGTATTGCCGTTGGGTACATTGCTCGAGATGGCAGCGGCACCGACTCCCAAATATGACAATATTCCAGACTCCTACTTTTGGAGTATGACGAGCTCTGCGTACTTCTCAATTAGTTCGGCTTACGCCCTCCTGGAGAGCGATCATTGGCATCCAGATGATAGGAACTGAAAAGATATTTGGCGTTAATCAGGTGCTCAATGGGTGCGTACGTTCCTCTGATTGACTGGTAAGGTGAAGCTTTTGATGAATTGGGAGAGATTGATATCACATATCCTCTACTGCGGAATACAGTAGGTGTGGCGACCTTATTGAGAATGTGGATCATGTTTTCCGTAATTGTAGTGTGACCAATTTGCTGTCCTGTTGAAGCCCAATCAACTTTCTTCAGTGGTACTGTGGATGAGTAGTTCGTGGTAAATCTCAAAAAAACTGGGTTTGGTGCAAGACATTTCTGGATTGGAGGGTGATCTTTGGTCTTACTTGACAGAGCTTGTGGAACTATAGAAATAAATTAATTTTTCAAGAGAGAGAGAGCAGTATCGATGAGCTTGTTAAAGATGTGTCGTTCATGACTGATTATACTTTTATGGCTAATAATATAAATCTTTGTTTTCTTTCAAGTATAGTGCATAGGTCAAAAGAATTTGCAACTTGACAGAAACCACCAAGGGGTTGGTTGAAGGTGAACACTGATGATGTTTATCGTGCTGCAACCAATCTCGTCTGATGTGATGGACTTATTAGAGATGATGATGATTTTTACCTGAGAAGGTTCAGCAGGAAAATTTGTTGATGCTCTGTTCTTCAGGCCGAGCTTTACGGCGCCTTTGATGGTCTTTAACTTGCTTAAAAAGTTGGGTTCTGTAGTATCATTCTGGAAATGGATAACACTTTAACGGTGCAGTTACTCACTAAGGAAGATTACGGTACTAATGCGCATACCGCTCTCATTCGTGAGATCAAGCACTTGTTACTACAGGATTGGCAGATACAGATCCAATATGTTTATCACGAAATAAATAAATGTGTTAACTGATTGGTAAATGCTGGCTTTTCTCTAGCAGTGGGCCTCCATTCTCATGTTCAAATATCGAATGATCTGTAACAGCTCTTCATTGACGATATCATGGGTGTCTCTTGACTCAAGATGTGCATGACGATTTCTTAATTTTTTTTTTACTTTTGCCTTTCTTTGTACAAAAAAAAAAAAGACATTTTCTATTTTTATTCTAATTTTGGTGATCTATATATGAACAAATAATTAATATATAAAAAAATAATTACTTAACTTAATCGATACTTTTACAAGATGTTCTACATTTAAGTCGGTTTGTATTTCGTGTATATTCTCATGGAAGAATTATTTTTGTCTTATTACGAAAAATATATAGATATCAGTTGATTAAAGATTATATGAATTTACTCAAGTTAAAATATTAATAGATAAATTAAGTCAAAACGTATATAATTGTCTATGTACTTAGTATATATACAAAATCAATGACCATATTAGCACTTGGTATATTGGTAGATATGTCAACATCAAAAAGAGTCTACTTATTAACTAATAATTGATGTTGAGGTGTGGATTTGAATCTTGAAATTTGCTTTTCATGTGTACTAATACGAAATTGTGTTACAAAACACATGAATTTTTATTAAAAAATAAAAATAATTATTAATAGAAATAATATTCTAAAAGAATATTCGATATGGAACACCTCAACAGCACATGGTATCAGTACACTAAAGAACTGGTATATTGGACCAATCGAATACCATTTTAAAATGGGGGCTAAAAAGATTGGAAAGAAGGATGGCAAAATTTGGAAGACTAATTAATCCTTGTGGGAAAAGAGAGTAATAAGATTAAACAAAGATTTTGGGAGGTGAAGTAGAATTAAGATATCTGGATGATTTATGTATTAACAGAATTTCATGTTGTTAATCCAAGAATCATTGATATAATATATGTATATATATATATCCACCCAATTAACCAGAAGAAAAGTTCTTGATCAAAATTTGAAAATAATAAATTCTGTACGTACATCACCTGAATCTTGGTCCGTCTTCCACAGAAAAAGGCAGCGAATAAGGCATATGCATCTGCAAATGTATTTGACCATTAATCCGAAACATTAGTTTAGTTCTCTTGTTAACTGAAGTTATGGATCGGAGTTATATGAGAGGAACACTATGTGTTTCTTTATAATAATAAAAATAAAGGAAAAAGAAAGATGTGGGTTAAAACTTAAAAGCGAAAGAGATGAAGAGAGAGCATCACAGTTTGTTTAACATTCTGCAGTGCAACCGATCTGTTGAGAAATACGATAAATATTGTTGATATATATACATACATACACCAAAAGCAAGAACTTGAAAAGGTCCTCGACGGTTTGTGAGGAAGAAATTTACAGACCGAGTTTGACATCCTGGCCGCCTCCAAACAGAAGGCGAGCTGAATTGGGTATAATGGAGGTGGACAGAATGCCAAATTGGCTCTGCAACTAAGCCCCTCAGAAACCCTAGAAGGACTCTGTAAACAAGTTTTCAAAGATAACGGAGATGGGTTTTTATCTATGAAACTACCTCAGTTGAGTGATCATGGGAGATTTTGGAAACCAAATAAAAAATAAAATAAAATAAAAGGATTAGTGTTAGCTTTTTTAATATAGAGAGTAGCTTTATAAAGAAAGAGAGAGTGCATGAGCGTGCATGGTGTTTTTGTACGATCTCAGACATGGTCTTCTTTTTTTTTTTTTTTTTTTTTTATTCTCTTCTTTTTTACTTTATAAAGTCAACCAACTCCATTGCAGTTACTGCTTTAAGCTTTTGTACGTTTTTGATGGCTTTTGACTAGTATATTTTTGTGGGTACAACGACTGGAAGCCAGATGTTTTGTGATATTATTATGTTGCTTGAGAATATAATATATGTATACATATATATACATCTGTTGGGTTTTGGATTTGCTTTTTGACAAATTTTGCAAAAGGAGGATGCATAAAGGCTTCTTTTGTCTCCCACTAGAACCCCCTTCATTTATGTCTTCTGCCTCAGTGCTAATTTCAAACTCCTCCATTAATTTCTTTACTTTTACAAACAAGCCATTCGCTTGACAAATTAATAAGGGGCAAACAATTCCAGTTTTCTTCTGGGCCACGCCTTTTTTAATGTTGAGCTAAAACATTAAATTATGATGTTTCTGCAACAACCAGTATCATACAGTATTAACCAAACCTATTATGATATAATACCCCATTCACTTACGGCATGAAACTACAAAATCATTACATCCTCCCACTTATTCAAACCTTCAAAGAAGAAAATGGAGCAAATGAAATCCTTTCTGTAATTAGTCTTTAGGTCTAGTGTCATCACAAGACAACCTACCTTCACATTTGACCCAATAATAAATATTGCCATTTTCAAAATTTCCTCAAGTTTACAACAGATCTTATGAAAAAAATATTTTACTTGACTTTATTTATTTATTCTAATGTACGAGGCAAAAATATACAAGACAAATAGAAGAGTGGGACTTCTATCCTTGGATAAAGCACCGACTATATACAATATAAATATGGAAATTTAAACAGCTAGAGAAAAGAAGGGGAGGCTTAAGAGGTACCCCAGAATCTCATCTTTCACCTCTAAAGTTGGAAAATTCATCCTTCCTATGAGCTAATTTGCTGAACCATTTTCAAGAAAGGGACTATCATCGGCAACTATTTCCTCAACTGGGTTAGCTTCGCCCCAGGCCGCTGCATCAAGATATCCAAGTTCAAAGAGTCTGTCCAGAACATGATCCTCAGCCGGCTCCAGTGCCCAGTTGAAAAGCTGAAATTGTTGGGAAAAAAAATAAGACCTGTCTCATATTTCCAAAGAACAAAAGATGATTCAGTCCAAAGGCCTGCAAGATTACCTCTCTGGGACTAGCTCTTTTTACAGGATTACAGTCAGGACTTATCCCAATCCCCTGTAGTCCTAATCTACTGGCTGGAAAAGCACAAACACGAACCTGCAAAACATCCAAGCACCTAGGATCAGCTGATAGAACCGTTCATGGAAAAGCATGTTTCTCACCACATGATGCTACTAGCTTGAAGCAAGGTCCACTTGCTTCCATCGAATATTTACAATATTATAAAAGATGGATTCCCTTCAACAAGAGCATAAAGCATCCGGATAATACAAAAATTGAGCTTCACCATACAGACAGCTCCTAATAATAAAGCAGAAACTTTACTGAATTAATGTGTTTAGGTAGAAGAAATATCATGTTCTTTCCTAATTACTCCACTGAACTTCAGCATTTGGACGATTTTAAGGGTGAGGATTACCCTTCCAACACATCAATTGGAAAAATAAACAATATGATCAAGATTCTTGGTCCCTATAACACAAGGTATTGGTCTAATAAAGTTACAAATAGATTACAAAGTATATCAAATTCATACTCTGCATTTCCATAGTTTCAAGGCTTCTATTCTATCAGACAGAGGCTAGGTATTTAAAAGGAAATCATTTCAAGCAAATACCGTTTTCGTAGCAGATGTTGGTGGCATAAACAATGTCAAACCCCCATCAATGCAAAGTCGATTTCGAAACATTGTTGCCGGTCTTGGGGCAAGATATCTGTGATCAAGCCCATTTCTTAGCTAAACTTCATTTGTAATATCTCAAACGGAAGAGAAGAGTTTAAAAGAGAATCAATTTACCCCGGAATAAATGAAGATGTAATAACTGCATTGATGAGATCTTCCTTGGAGTCAAATTGATCCACCAGTAAACCTCTTGGCCTCCAAAAAATCTGAGTAACAGCAACTGTAATAAAAACTATAAGATTAACTAGATGCTGTACCCAGAAGTTAATCAAAAACTGAAATGTTTAGCAAAGAGGGTGTTAGCAAGTCGGGCCTATTTGATGTTTCATTGAAATTTATTGTCTATGGAGATCGCCTAAGAAAAGTGGAACTAAAAACATAGAAAATTGAACAAATTATTCTCACCACGAACCCTCCCATTGGACCTACTATGGGCATCATCTGGTAGGAACTTCTCAAGAACATCTCTGAGAACAGCCTGTATATAGTAAGAGATGGATGGATAAAGATGATTTTAAAGTGAAAAAATAACTGTACAAACATTTGTAAGGCAGAGAAATTGAACTGAATATTATGTGCTGCTATTTTGTAACTGAGATCTGGAATCTGGTCGTACCCCTAGACGAAATGCAGTGCCTCTCGCTCGGCAATCTTCAGCTAGAACTTTAGTTGCGTTTAGAGCCTCTAGCATACTGGCTCCAGAGGCGATAACTGCACAGACTATGGCGCCAGCAGAGGCACCGGCTAATGGAGTAGTGTCCTGAATTTTTTAAATAAAAAAAATAAAAAAAAATGTCCACTCTTGTTTCCCATTGTCAAGATCAACAATAACAAGATATCACTCTGAAAGGCCAGAAATACTCTATGGGTTCAAACATGTATCTAATATCCAAGCAATGATGATAGATAAAGAACAAAAATCCGTTGCGAGAATAGCTTGTAAATCCTCCATTCAATTTTGTGTTAATTCTTGAAGGTAGAAATTGATCAATGCAACAGAAGAGATGGTCAACTAGATATCCTAAATGTTAGTATGGTCCTTAATATTGACTGAAAACGGGGGGAAAATTAGGTAAAGATTCAAGCCAACCTGAAAGAAGATGCAAATATTAAATGTTCTTTGATCATACTGTAGACCAACGGAAGTAAAAAATTTCACCTGTTGTGTCTAATTCTTTTCATTATTAAGAAATTGATACAGAAAATTTTACTAGGAATTTAAAGGTCAGGTAGATTGTTGATGTAGTTAGGGCTGTTACATAAGTACACAGGTAGCTGTTTAGTTGGTATGCAGTTGTTATCTAGTACTAGGGAAAAACTATCTAAAGCTGAGTACCCTTTGTAAACAAGTTTAGCAATTGGTTAATCTGATAACCCCCTTTTCATTTAATTGTCCGCTTGTCTTCTTAAATAGCTATGTGATTTGTCTCTAATGCTCTCAAATTCCAGCCAAGACAAGTATCCTTCATTAAAAGTAAACTTTGGGGGTTAAGAAATCACTATTCAGAAATTCAACACAGCGACTTCCCTTAGATATATATATATATATTTACAAATTACTGCTTTCATTCACAGTGGCTTGGCACATTTCCAATTTAATCTTTATGGTTTGTTGATATATCTATAAAATCATTAGTTTTAAAGGTCATTTAATTGTAATCTTGAAATTTTTCCCCTAATTTTGCTTCAGATAAGTGCAAATATAATCTAAAGATCTAACAATTCTGTGCAAACTGATAAAAATCAAAATACAAAAGTTCTAAACGATTGCAGACAAATCTGCAAGCGTTCAAGTGCAACTAGGTCATGGTACAGGAGGTGAAACTACTCTTTGGCCTGCACTCAGTGAACAATTGATCACAAGAGAGCTCACAGAAACTATTAAAAACAGCAAAGAGAAAATAAAACTCAGTTTTCTTTCCGCATTTCCGCCAAACAAGCAAGATAACAAATAAGTCACGATTACTCAGGCCTAACGCCAAACAGACCCGAAACAGTCAGCATCAAAGACGTGCACGACGACACGTTAATTTTTCGAATATAATATATACGAATATATATGTACATACATTGAGATATATATTATATAGAGAGATTATACCGAAAACCCGCTTCACATCAAAATCACGAAAGTCGAACTACACTACCAAAAGATATAAACTCGGAAATAGATGAAATGAAACAAGGAAAAAAGCAGGAAGGGAGAGTTATACCTTAATGTAACCCTTTTCAATGAGAAACTGGGCAACCCCAAGATGATAAGGAAACAAAAGGCCAGCAGCGGAAAAACTAAAACCCGGACTAGTAACGATCCTCCTCTCCTTCTCGGCCTCAATATCCTTTACCCTCTGTTCCCATATAACTCCCGGTTCAATCTCATCCTCCATGACAGCCCCAATTCTATCCTCGTTGTATCTCTCATCACCATCCCCATCCCCATCATTTCCGCTCCTATTCCTCAATTTCTTCAATGTAGAAATGGAGCCAGAATTGCTGAAGAGGACTCGGCTACTAGGTTTGATCAGCCTGGACGCGATTCCCAAGAAAAGCTCACCTGTGGCGACTGCAAAGGATCTCTTCTGGGGATTGGAAGATGGAGGAGGAGGAGATGAGTCCTCTTCGTTGGAGAAAGAAGGAGGCGAAGGAGGGGTAGCGAGATTGCGGTTGGTGGTGGAATTAGAGGAGCAGAGGATTAGGGTTTGGATGCGTGGAGGGGGGATGAATCTGTGGGCTATGTTAGGGTTGGGAATGAGAGGGTAAACAGGAGAGGAATGGGGGAGAAGGAGAGAAGAGAGAGAAGGAGCCATGAAGTGAGAAGAAGAAAGAGAAGGTCTTTTTGGTTTCTTGTTGAAGAAGAACATTTTTCTTGTCCTTTTCAAATCAACGTTTCATTTTCAGTAATTTTGTTTTTTTTTTTATTTTTTTAGGCGGTTTCTGGAATCTTGGTTTTTCGCGGGAAGAAGATGAAGTCAGACAACCGGTTGATACTATTTATTATATTTTTACTTTCTGACCAAAAATATATATATATATATACATGTGCGTATATTTATTGGTGGGACTGAAAAATTAAATTATGAAAAATACTTCTGGTCCGTAGAAAGCCAAACTAATTTAGTACAATTCAATTTAATTTTGAAAAAATATTAGATTATTTTATTCATGTTGATATAATTTGAATTTTGATAATATTTATTTATATTTTAAAAAATAATTTATGTTTATTTTAAAAAACATTTAATTTATATTTTAAAAAAATTTCATTAATTTCTATATGAATAAGTTTATTAACTGATTAGTAAACGTATTTTTATTTGATTATAATATAATATATTTTTTTTAATTTTATTTATAAATATAATTACGTTAAAATTTTATATTTTTTTCTTTATACTTTTTATTTTGATGTTATTACGCATAATTTAGTTATTTATTACTAACAATCTTCGATAAAATTTTATTAGGAACCAAATCAAAATTTTTGACCTTAAATTATGTTGGTTCCATCCACTTCAATCCCATCAATTCAGAGTGAACACTTAGGATCTTAAATCATGTACGTATTAAGAACTCTTATTTACAATCTAAAAGATTCACAATAATTCCCAGGACCAATGCAAGTGTCACAGAGGAACCCTATAGGATGGATCCACCATTTTCAAAATGAACAAGTTACCTCTGTTACCCCTTGATATCCTGAAAACAAGAGAACAAAATATCTAACTTCAACCTTCAATCTTGAAAAAACAACACACACACATATATATATTTATTTATTTATAAATTATGCAGATGCACTTTTTTGTTCATTCAAAAGTCAACAGACGGTGGTGGGTAAGTAACCAGCTGAACTCCCTTCATATCATTCTAATCCAAATAAACATGTTGATTTGAGTCAACTTCTTGTATAATACATATGTACTAACTTCATCCGAATTATGCATGCAAATGTAAGATGCATTTTAAGAAGACAGGTTTTCTGATCTACCCAGGGGAGGTTTTCGACCTCAATCTCGAAGCGAGATACATATAAGCTAATAAAAGTTATATCTATTTCTTAGAAAAAAAAATATCAATCTAATATTTATATATTGTAATGCAAATTAAGAACTACTCTAACTTAAGTTTTTCTTAAATGAATTGATATAAATGAAGTGCCAACCATAATTTACTAACATAGATTAATAGAAATTTGACTCTAGTTTGAGGTGTTCATCGAACTACAACCAGATAAGACTGGAACAAACCGAGATTAATTTTACTCTGAAGCAGAATAAATCCCTCCCTAACTTTGATATTGCGTGAAGTAATTATTGCAATACCCATAACTTGGCCTTTGTATGTATCTAGTCACTCACCATATTTAAGGAGATTATTAAGGAAACTTCAATTCTGCGTCTCCCAAATATGAGAATCTATAATAACTTTTATCTATTGAGCAAATCTACCTTGACTAGATGATTTAAGCCTACAGTCTGATAATAATAACAGTATTTTTAAAGGATATCATTTCCGAAGGGGGTTAAGAAGCTGCACAAATGAAGTTGAACCTATCTACTCCTCAATGGAACTAGCCATAACCACTTGGCTAACAAGCTTTGGCTCTCATAAATTTTATTCTGTGCTCATTGACAGCAAAGAGCTTTTCCAAAGAATTCTAAGAGACATGTATTCTCTATCAATAAGATCATGTCACTTTTATCTTTAAAGAAGAGATGGGATCAGGAAACTCTCTTCTGAGTGTTTGAGAAATGAAAATTTATCATCAAAATGATCAACCGTAGTGAGTCATTAATGTGCACCAATTCCTGTTGACCACACAGAGATTGCTAAATTGCTTACCGTAATTCTTCATCCAAGTAGATAATCTCCAACTGACCACGACCACTCCCTGCTGATTTGACGGGTATCTGAGAAACATTACGGGATGATATCAGATAAATTCTAAACCTTATGTTCCGAAATGGTTGTCTGAATGAAGCATTTTTTTGAAGCATTTCGAGCTTCAAAAGATTCAAGGAAAGATTGGCAGAATGATGATTAAAGAAAATTGAATATTATAATACATTTAGAGCATCACTTACCATACCCACAATTTTGAAGTAATCAAATTTAACAGCCACCCTTCTTTCATTAAGAGGTACTAAGTTAGCTGTGGCCTGCAAAAGTATACCCTGATTAGATTCACAATTACATGTAACATTTCAGTTTCACTTGATGTGTAATTATCTATAACAAAAGAAAATGAATTAATCAAATAGCTGAAATAATCTGATCCTGATTAGTTATGTGCAATATGACAGAAGCAAGAATGTGTTCCAATTGATTCAATTATCCATAAAGAAGTCTACATCAGCATATGCTCTCACTGTGACTCTCGTTAGTCGACTGTGTCATCAATGGCTAAGAAGAGATGGTGAGACATGTATGCTTGTTCTTGTAAACTTTCTTGAGAAACAGAGAGAACATACACAAGCATGGTCTGCAACCTATTGTGGAACATTGAGTTTTTGGCATTGGACACCTCATATTATTGATTGATGCTGTTTCACTTTTATCATCCTTATAAGATTATCCTTGACATGCACTTAAGTAAGGCACATCAGAACTATAGGTTTGCATATTTGCAGATTCTAATCCTCTCCGGTGTTGGTTCCCTGGGCACTAGAGAAAATCAATGCCCCATATGCAGATAAACAAGCAGCATTCATCCAATCTAGTGCTGGAAAACTGTTACGAACGAGAAAGTGTAGTAGTGGTTCCACTAGCACTTCTTCTCATACGACACTAAATGATGATTTTAACACTTCAACTACTGTATCTATTGACCGGTATAGCAGCGGAAAAGATATTATATAGAATAGTTGGTAATTTGAAATAACTTATGGCAACTAATTAACCCCAAAACTTAAAGCTTGTAAGAAATGATGCAATATATTATTTGTTCCTCAACACCTCCTTATGTAGAAGCTTGTTAAGCTAAAAACATAACCAAACACACACCTAACATACCTTGTGTTGCAAGTGTAGCTAGTATTTTATCTATACATCTTTGACCATTATACTGTCTGAATAATTACTCGTCATCAATTATTTATAAAGTTTAAGCTGATTGGAATTGTACAATCAATTATTTGTACTCTTACATGTAACAAATCACCAGTTTTCTTGATATTTCAGTTCCCACTAAAAGCTATATCATAGAAAGAGCACGTCAAAAGAAGCTTTGAGTAAATAGAAGACAAAACTGCAATTCCCACATGAACAAAAATGTAAATCAGAGTTTGAAAGCATTGAATCACCTGATTGAAGAAGGGCCAAGTTTCAATATTTTGAGCTCTAAGGGTATCCAAATTAATAGCCTGGTAGATTTTACCATTTGGTCTTAACAATTTTGGCCTCTGTCAGAGAAGAATACCCTAGATAAGTAATCATAATTGAATAATCATCACAGTAGAATGTCATGTTCATGGATAACCATGATATCAGAAAAAAATGCAGCTAAAAAAATTTAAATCTCCAAGTTCCTTCTAAACCCAGGAATTCATGTACACTACAGTATCATATGAAAAGTATGGCATAAATAAATCAGAAATACAAAATAGAGAGAAAACCAGCACCTACTGATAAAATATTGAAGTGAAATAAGGGCGCGTGAAAGACCTTGGTTTGTAGAATTGATTTAGAAGTTGTATATATAAGCTCCCATTTCCCATTGAGCAAGTTAGACTTGAGAGGCTCCTTTATCTTGTTGGCTGCCGCAAGTTTCTGCACAATCTGAATAAAAACAAATGCTAGAAGCAAGTAAATTTAACAAGATTGAACAGATTCTACTGTATACTTCTTTTACACAAAAGAGATTTAGGGTAAAAAAGATGAACTCCGCATAAATTGTTTTAATAAGGTTTCTGGGTATGCGCCTAAAAATCAAACCCCGTGTTATCAAACAGCATTCTGAAAGCAATTACTTGTAAATGACAATCAAATCGTGCTTTCAACAACGAATAATTCAGGCTTAGGTAAATCAACCAAATGGGATTGTAAAATTCTTTCTCCTTTAAAAAGTTAATGGATATGTAAACTGCAAACTAACCTTATTTACAAGGTCTTGATCATCAGCAGAGGCGTCTGCCCCACGATCAAGAGGCGCAATGGCGGTAAAGAGCTCATCCTTGAGGCCGTCCACATCTTTACCTTTGGTGAAGAAACCAGGAAAGAAAGAAAAGTTAGACCTCCATCTGTGAGAGACAGAGTTGCTGTACGATATTTGGAAATGAGCAGTTGGAGTTTCGGATGATAGGAAGATAGCACGTGGAGAATGGAAAGGAAAAGGTTGTTCAATTGAGGGTTGAAGAGTGTTTAGCAGACTTCTGAAAGAACGAAAGGTGCTGGCCATGGAGATGGATGATGACGATGATGGTTTGTCATCAGTACTGGATAATGGTGTTTTGTTCTTGATTCTTGGCCGTTAATTTACAGTTGCTGTATGAAGTGATAGTAGAAAAAAGAAAAAAAAAATCAAAATTTAAATGAAATATTATGAAGTGTTTTATCTTACATTATTTAAAAATAAATTTTTAGAAAAAAGCATGCGATTTATTTTAAATTTTTAGTAAAAATTATAAAATAAAATTTTCAAATGTAAGAAATATATTTATAGAATAGAGACTAATTTTTTGCTATTAATTATTTAAAATTTTTTATTACATCAGATAAATAACTGAATTATTAATATTAAAATTAAAATTAAACTGCAGATTTAATTTAAAAAAACAACATTTCTTCTTGTATAAATAACTTATAAAATGATGCAAAATTTATATGATTGTAAAATAATTAAATTATTAATTATTTAAATTTATATCCTCAGACTTAAATAAAGTTGCTTTTATACAAACCATTTTTGATAATTAAAGATTTAAGTACTTCAAGCCATTATAATTACTTCAAATAAGAAAATATAACTCCGACTGAGCTCTCTCTTCATCAAAATAAAACTATAATCTGTCATAAACATATGTGCACCCAGAGTAGAAAAGCCAGAAGATTTTATGTTCTTGATACATAAAGGCGATACATGGATCTATACACGATAAGATCTTCTCAGAAGCTCCTTCTTGTAATGGTTTTAAACAAGCATCTTTGATGAGCAGGAAACTATTCTGCTGGGATGTAATTGGATGTCAAACAGGAACTCTGTAGGATGTATCAATCATTTTCAAGATGAACAGATTCCCTTTGTCTCCTCTGGATATCCTGTTGAAAGAAGCAATACAATCTTATGTAATTTACACTTTACAGTTCAAATGATTGAAGCTGTCAAATAATTGCATTGGATGTGTCAGAAAAGTTTAAGCTTATGAGGAAAGATCTAACCTATTATATGCAAAACGATAATAATAGCTATAGTACCAGTTGAGTGTGTGCCAAATGGAACCTGGATATTCAATTTTATTGATCCAACCAAATCAAACATAAATCATTCTATCGGATAACTTTGATCAATATAACCCGAAGAATGTATCAAATTCCAATTCATCACACTTCATGCTAAAAGTTTCCATAATCCAGTAATCATTTGGGTGAAAAAAGGATACCCCGAACAGACACTAATAACTGATGGGTGAAAGGGAAAAAGGCTCGAGAGGGAGGGATTTCGAGAAGTATACAATTCTTTTTGCCTACCATAAGACAACTTGTCTTATTATCTTACTCGCGACAAACTTTGTCACAGGGTACAATATAAAGGAGGTGTACATTCCAATTCTTTATTTTATATCTACAAACATGGGATTGGATAATCTTATTTACCTATTTGTCCTGTATAATTGCGTAGAGGACAACAATCAAATGATACTGAAAGTTTAATTTGGTGTAAACAATAAGGCTACATGATAAGAAAATCTCAAACATTAACGCACCTCAATTCTTCATCCAAATAGGTGATTTCCAATTCACCACGAGCTCTTCCAGGGGCCTTAATAGGTATCTACATGTGAAGCAAAAATCATTCAGATCAAGTAAACTACTATTTGTTATGCATAAAAAACTGCTATTTTTTTTAATTATACCTTGTAAGTCAATGTTATAAATCGAGACTGCATGGTAAAAAATAACTTATATTATATATGCAGTTCATAAGAACAAATAGTTTCAAAACCAAATAACTTATAACTTTTAACAAGCTTAAAAGTAGATACACCCAAATCCTCATATGAACCAAGAATCTGAACGCATATGTGAATCAAAACAAGTGGTGTAGATTTCAAGTTCATATTCACTGCTCATTTAGTTCAAATTTGTATTATATTCCTTTACTTGGTGTAGAATTAGATCAAAGTTTTCATGATTAAATCAATTCCATCCCTATGTGAATGCCTTGAAGATGGCTCCGAAAAATAGATTAGGAGTACAATTGATTAAACAATGGAAATCATTAGCAAATTCTAAATATCAAGAATATTCTCGTATGAATATTCTGGTAGTTCAACAAGAAAAGATGAAAATCCAACCAAATGGGTCCAAATTATTTATAGATGGATTTCACAATCCTACTTGACTATGTAGAAATCAGAATTCCATCTCCAACGATTTTCTGAAGAATGAAGTTGATCTAAATATGCAATTATGATCTAATTCTGCATGGTAAGAATGTTTCTAGTAATTATGCAAATTAGTAAAACAAGAATTAACCAAATAAGGCATTGGCCTAACACAAAACATATGATAGGTTTGATCTTCAATAATACTTACCAAGCCTCCAATTTTGAAAGTGTCAAATTTTACAGCCACCTTTCTAGCATTCAGAGGCGTTAAATCTGCTGTAACCTACTAGGAAAAGAGAAGAAGATAGCAGTTCATATCTCTAGCATTCGTTGGTGTTATATTCAGGTGCAAGAAGACTATCTTGTCTCGTGAAAAAGGAGACATAAAACTAATATGAAAGGATGATTACATTTGGTCCAACATATTAGCCAACAATTTGAAAGACAGGATAAATACAGCGGAAGGTCAAAGAGAACAGGGGTAAATTGAAGGAAAACTAAACTAAAAGTAGACTCAAACAGAGGTGATAAATCCATCAAAATCGAAGTAATGTTAATGTAAATATACATATAATTAAGAGCTAAAACCATATAAACTGAGGTTGAAAAGCTGATTGCAAGAATAAGTTGAAAGCTACCTGGTTGAAGAAAGGCCAAGATTCCATGTTCTGGGCTCTAAGTGTATCCACATTAATTGCTTGGTAGTTTGTAATTGACCTTAAAAATTTTGGCCGCTGCAACAAAATCATCCCTCCTAAATTTGCTAACAAGAAGGATAGAGATATAAAATTTTAACTTCTGAACGCAACAATCATGGCACAAAGAGAAAGGAGATCAGCAGTACAAACCACAAGGACATCAACAACTTATATTACTAACAAAAACATGAAAAGAAGATCCTCCTAGGATATGGCCATGAGAAGGGGGCGAAGCATCCCCTACTCATCATTGTATAAAAAGCAAGATATTATTACTAAGAAAATATTGAAGAAAGAAGTAGAACAATGATGAAGATAAACATCAAACACTGGAATAAGTAAAACACCGTGCCATTTTCTTATATCATGCAAGAGTTTCTGGACCTCAAGTAGAATTTCTAGTTACCTGCGTTTGCAGAATTGACTGTGAAGTAGTATATATAAGCTCCCATTTCCCATTCAATAAATCAGATTTGAGAGGCTCCTTTACGGGGGTAATCGCTTCAAGTTTACGCGCTATCTATTCAGACATGAACTCTACCATTTAAATCAGAAAGATATGAAAATATTAACTCTAACAAAATGAATGAGTGCCCCGTCAAGAAACTTTGTCACAAGAACAAAAAGAGAAATGAAAAAGGAAAGAACCTGATCGACTCTGAGCTGGTCATCGGGAGAGGCAATAGCGCCACGATCGAGAGGTGCAATGGCTTCGAGAAGCTCTTGCTTGAGGGGAGTAGCGTCTTTGGGTTTATTCAAGAAAGCAGGGAAAAAAGACACCTTGGCTCTCCATTTCTCATACGCTGGTAGCGGTGCCAAAAGGATACTATAGTTTTTATGGCGGTCAGTGGATTTTGCAGAGAAGGGAAAGGTTGTATTTGGCGGATGAGAATGGAGGAGATTGTTCGAGCGGAAGGTCTCCGTGGAGGTGAAAATTGCTGAACAGTTGATAGATAAGGCCATGGCCAGAGGTTGCAGTGTGGGAAGCTCTATTTTTCTGATACACTAAAAGGTTTTTACTTTTCTTTTATTATTACTATTATTATTATTATTATTATTATTATTATTTATTTACTAAAAAATTAAAAAAATAATACAATATTATTTAGTTCTATTTTGTACATTAAAAGATTTTTCATTTTTATTTTTAATTAAAATATTTTTATTTTTATGGAATCAAAATCAACTATTTTACAATAAATTATTACTAATTATAAATTAAATATTAGAACAATACAAAACGTTGGCTTGACCAAACGAAACAGTCCGTTGACTTATTTGTCATTTAGCAGTGAGGGAAGGAGCCACCAGCAACTCGTCCCCCCCCCCCCGCGCGTAGTGTCTCTTCCACAAAAGTGGAAAGTTAGTCGTGCACGTCTCTGATCTCTCCTTTTCTCCTTCATCAATGAGCTCAAAGCTTCAAGTTTGAAATCACTTGAGCAATAGAACTTCTATACATGGCCTCAAAATTATTACTTACTCAGTTGAAAGCATCCAATTCTTCGATTTGTTACCATACTGAACACTCTTATAAGTTTGGATTCTCAACGTATTCTTCTTCCAAGCGGAAATTAAGATTCAAGCTTGAAGCGCAGTCTCTTGGAGATAAATGGAAGTTAAATGACATCGATACCAGTGAGTTTCAGTCCTACCTAGCTTTTCCCCTATTTTGGGTGTAATCTAATTTTGTTTTCTCAAAGTGTTTCTTGTTGGCTGTTCTTATTTGAGAAATGGATCCTGTTTATGGCGAGGCTGCAGGGTGCTGTTATTTATGAGATCAATGTTCATGGAAAAGGGTCAAGTAGTGTTTATTGATTTAATAAAAACACAGATTTTTGCGTATTCAACTTATTGGGTGAAGCAAACAGATGAATTGTTGATAACTCTGTTGAAAGTATATGAGGTGTTTAAACTGTTCTCCCCCGTGCATTTTCATGTATTCTCTGCAACTTGAACTGATGTATTTGGTCTACTCTTTGCTATTGGTGCAATTTTTAGTATCTTCATTACCAATTCCTTGGATTGAAACAAGAATGTAGAAGTTTCTATTTGGAGTTATGATAGTATCCTTTGGGTACATCAAAATAGTTTTCTAAATTTAGAGGTGATTATAGGTGTGTTTGTTCATGGAACACGTATGACACTGGGTGTTTGTTTATGGAGCAATAATGTATATATAACAATCGTTTTTTAAAAACATTACAAACATATATTTTTTAGTTTAAATTCTACTATTATTTTTTTTTCAATCTCATTATTATTTTTGACTAATTCATATGTTTTATGTATAAACATTATTAATTTAGAAAATGAAAATTAAGAAGTATTTTCATACACTAAATGATTTTTCTTTTTCCTGCTATGTAATTTGTAATATGTGGAGGGCTCTTTGCATTGGCCTTTTTAGAGTGTGTCCTATTTTATTTCTGTTGACGATCTGCCTTTTCTCGGGGTCTGTAGATTGCCTGGCTCTTGGGCAAAGTCACAGAACACTACTTTCCGAAGCACATGTTGCAAACTGGAAACTTGCATAACCCTAAGGGCGTGGTATGTGATAGTTGATGGGGTTGTCAATTATCACGTACTATGCATTATCCCAAAGGTTTAACTTAACAGAATATCACCAATGTACTATTTATATTTTAATGCACCCCCTCACATCCAAGTAGATTGAAAGCATGATTCAGACACAAGCTACCATACTTTTTGCTGAAATCTAAAATTCTCTATATAATTGATTTTCTGTGCACAGGAAATTTCTGTTTATACATGTATATATTAGCTAATATAGGATATAACCTATGCGGAAAATAACACATATATGTAAGAATCCTACCGTATACACATTACTTATTTAGGAGATGCAATTCTATTATTTTAACACCCTCATCAAAGTTAGGTGGATGTAGTGGCACCAACTTGATACTGCAAATTAAGTCTTGAAAATGATCAGTTGTCTGATTAGATGATGATATGATACAAAGAACAAGTTGAGAGTGTCTTGGATCCAGATATTGTAATTAACTGGACAAAATAGTAGTAATAAGTGATAAAATCTCATATTTTTGCATTGGATAAGGAAACTTTGCAGAACCTGAAGCAAAGAATGTGAAAAGAAGGAAAGAGGTGAGGTTGCGAAAAAAAAAGGAAAAAATGCTAGTGTGGCAGGCTGACGGGGCAGTAATGAGGTCGAGATGTGCTGAACAGATGCTGGATTAGTAATCCTAATGTCTGTATTGATGTCAGCAAAAACAATTTTTAAGAAGAGGAGGGACAGGATGCATAGAACGAAGCACTGGTGCAGATTCGAAGGGAATTGGGTCAGAGAGCAACCTGGAATATGCTGGCACGTCCACCAGTGGTTGGAGTCATGTCGATGTTGGAGAACTGATCGGAAGCGGAGGATCTTTACAGTGAGCATGCAGAAATCGAGGACTAGACTAGAGATACACGAGCAGTAGAGGTTGTGGTTGACAGGAAGAGCTCTTCTTTCAATGGCAAACCAAAAGTAGATCTAAGGAGAAGCAGTGGACAGAGACCAAAACCAGTGGTTGAGAAAGGTTCTAGATGTTGGAAAACCTCTGCTAACTGAGAACAATAAACCAGAGGAGAGGATTCAAATCAAGCTTTTCGGTTATAAAAAAAAATATTTTTATGATAACATTGTCTTAAATAAAACATTGTTATGGTGTTAGGATGAGTCTCTGAACAAGTATATAAACTAGTAAAGATTCTCGTACTTGTAGGACATAGATACAGACAACTATCGACAAAATATTAGGCAGGACTGAGTTATGGGGCAGAATTGGCTCTAATACATGTTAGTTAGTAGAAATTGAATTTCTCTAATGAATTGATTTTGGGTCCACATGGAACTCGTATTATACAATATTTATATATATTAGCTCATATAGGAAATAACATGTACAAATATATGCAGGAAAGAATCTTAACATATATACATTACTTATTTATGAGAGGTATTTTCTTATTATGTTAACACCTTATTTAGGAGATGTATCTCCTGTTATGTTAGCAAATAGAATTAAGAATTCAAACTTTTGTCCTTTGACTTTAATACTATGTGAAAGAACTGATTGGATGAACAATTATTTTAAAAGCTTAAAAGTTGGAAATTATTCTATCTGTGATTTATATTCTACTGGTAGTTTATTATATATTTTCTAGAAATACCCTTTTTCCTACTCTTATAAGTTGGGATTTTCATTTGCTATTTTTTACAGGTGCAGTTCAAGAAAAACTGCACTCATGGATGTCTAGAACCCAAAGTTTTTTCAATGATGTGACTTTGCCATTGGTAAAAACTGGTCAGAGTGGCAAGTCTGACCCCAGAAATGCATTGGATGCTCAAGATGTGGAGGACATATTTATGGCTGAGCAGACAATTTGACAGTCGCACGCCAAATGGGATTCTTTCTTTAGCTGCGATTGTGTCTATTGAACAATTCAGCAGGTGACAATATGTCTGTTACACCACATAGTTTGAAGTTTGTTCTGTCTGGAAATGTAACAGTTCATTCTTCTTCTTCTTCTTCTTCTCCTTAATCCTAAAAATGTAACTGTTTCTTCTTTCTCTTGGTTGTCTAAGGACACACCAGAAAATTAAAAACTACTGAATAAGAAATATGCTTCCTCTGCAAGTAGCTGAATCATGGGTGAGTGATTATTTGCGGCACATGCATGTGTATGCTTATTTGTGATGAAATGTTCCTCAAAGTGACTGGATAAACTTTGGAGTCGTTATTTGAACTTTATCTTACCATGCATATCATATGATTAAAGGGATCAAAGGTTAAGTATTAACGATTGGAAGTCATGATATGCAGGATGAATGGATTGACTGGAAAGAAAATGCTGAATATTTTTAAAGCCCTTGTTCCTGAGTCTCTGTATATGGATGCCCGTAATTGGGTGGAGTACTGCTGCTTTAGGTTCTTGTCAAGGGACAGCTCAGAGATCCATCCCAATCTCAAGGTCTGAGGATCTAGTATAGCCCTTTTATGCTTTCTGTATTGAATAATTTCTAAAGCATTCATATGTCTATGATGAAAATAGTTCATTAGTTTGAGAGGATGATGGAAATGGTTCGTCGCCGAAGAAAGAGTTTATCTAGATTGATGCTTTGAGAAATCACAAATGGGTTGTTCTTTTTTTTGGAAAAAAAAAAGTTAGGAGGCTTCAAAA